CACACTTCACCCCTGCCTGCGGCAGGCGGTCAGGCTAGATGATCTGTTCAGGTCCCTCCTGACCCTAGCTACTATGAAACTATGAAACCCTCGGCACGCGTGCCGAACATGGCACGCAAGGCCATTTTGCTCGGCATACCACCACCAGCTGGGCTCTAAGCAGCTGCTGCCAGCCACGGAGTCCAGGCTGCTCCCAGCAGGAAGCTGGAAGGCTGCAAGCCCTGCTGCAAGCAGACTGGGCTCCATGGGCCGGCTGCAGCTGGGAGGTGGCAAACAGCTGCTCCAGGTTCCAGCATGTCGGCACTCCAGCACCTTCCAAGGTAGACATTGCATTTTTTTCGGCACTCCAGCCAAAAAACGTTGCCTACCCCTGATCTAGATAGTCGGAAAGTTCTTTCTAATCTCCAACCTAAATTTTCCTTACTGTAGCTTGAAGCCATTGCTGCTAGTCCCATCCCCTATGGCCACAGAGAAGGGCCCATCTCCATCCTCTTTATAATTGCCCCTCAGGCACTTGAAGACTGTTATCAAATCTCCCCTCAGTTCACTCTTCTCCAAACTAAATATCTCGAGTTCTTTCAGCCTTCCCTCTTAAGTCTTGCTTCCTAGGCTCCAAATCATTTTTGTCACTTTGCCCTGGACTCTCACCAATCTGCCCACATCCTTCTTGAAGTGTGGGGCCCAAAACTGGACACAGTACTGGACACAGTATGCAGAGATGCCAGCTATCTATATCTCAGTGCTTTTGCACTCTGCCGTTACTATATTAATCTGCTGTTATCTTTGATTTCAGGTTACTTTATTTCGGTTGAGTATACAGAAGGTCAGACACAAACACCAGGGAGAGATTTATGAGAAAACTGTGATGCCAATTATAAAACTGATTGCTGTGCTTGTTTATTAAATAGAAGCAATTGAATATTCCTATTTCAGGGCATGTTCTACTGCAGGCATGAGAAAGGAGTATCCCCTCACCCTGCTGCCATGGGCAGAGCTGCACAATTCTACCTTCCTCTGAAGCATCATCAGTTGCTGGGAGAAATCTAGGATGCTGGGCTTGATGGCCCAATGATTTGATCTAGCTTGGCAAGCCTCATCTACAACTTAATTAGGTAAGTTAATTACCTTTTTATTACATTCCTTAATGTAATAATTCATTATATTTATTACATTATGTTGCTATATAGAACCCCCAAATCCCCTTTTATAAAAGAGAAGTCAGCACATCTGTGGAGGCACACTGGAAGAACAACATACATTTTTAACAGTACCTTCTGCAGTGAGCCTTGGAACATCTGTTGCTTCTTGTGAAACTTGAGGCAGGATAGCAGTGGCAGTGGGTGATATCAGTAGAGTTTCTAGAACAGCAGCTGTTTCTGTCTCTTGTCCTGACACCATAGGAGTAGAGGACTCTATTTCAAGCTGGGCCTCTTCAGGACCCTTGGGCTCTTGTGTTAATTCAACATCTGGAATACTGGTACTGATTACAATGTCTGGGGCAGAGGTTTCTCCTGAGATGTCTGGGATTGTGTGTGTATGTGTTCCTGAAGTATCCGTAGAAATTTCCCTCCTCTCTTCAGGTGTTCCAGAAGATTCGCCACTGACCAAAGATATGCCAGATGTGTCAGTGCTAGTTTCAGGGAATGTGGATGTTTCACTGCTGGTTTCATGAACAGTAGCAGTTTCTATGCTAATTTCGGGCAATGCTGATGTTTCATCACTGGTTCCACCAGCTGTAGCGGTTTCTATACTAATTTCGGACAATGCTGATGTTTCATCACTGGTTTCACCAATTGTAGCAGCTTCTATACTAATTTCAGGCAATGCTGATGTTTCATCACTGGTTCCACCAACTGTAGCAGCTTCTATACTAATTTCAGGCAATGCTGATGTTTCATCACTGGTTCCACCAACTGTAGCAGTTTCTATGCTAATTTCAGGCAATGCTGATGTTTCATCACTGGTTTCACCAACTGTAGCAGCTTCTATACTAATTTCGGGCAATGCTGATGTTTCATCACTGGTTTCACCAACTGTAGCAGCTTCTATACTAATTTCGGGCAATGCTGATGTTTCATCACTGGTTTCACCAACTGTAGCAGCTTCTATACTAATTTCGGGCAATGCTGATGTTTCATCACTGGTTCCACCAACGGTGGCAGTTTCTATGCTAATTTCGGGCAATGCTGATGTTTCACCACTGGTTCCACCAACGGTGGCAGTTTCTATGCTAATTTCGGGCAATGCTGATGTTTCACCACTGGCTTCCTGAACTGTAGCAGTTTCTATGTGAATTTCAGGCAATGCAGATGTTTCACCGCTGGTTTCATGAACAGTTGAAGTTTCTATGCTAATTTCAGGGAATGCAGATGTTTCACCACCGGTTTCATGAACTGTTGAAGTCTCAATGCTGATTTCGGGCAATGCTGATGTTTCGCCACTGATTTCACGAGCTGTTGATGATTCTGTGGCAGCTTCAGGGAATGCTGATGTTTCACCACTGATTTCATAAGCTGTTGATGTTTCTGGACTAATTTCAGGCAATGCAGATGTTTCCGCACTACTTTCACCAGATGCAGAAGCATCCCCACTTGCTTCAAAGATATGTGGGACTGTGACAGCTGTTTCTCCACCTAGCTCCTGTGAAACTGTTGGCTTTGTCACTACTTCTTCTAGATCAGAAGTAATTAATGTCACTTCTGGAAGTCCTGATTCCTCCCCACTAACTTCAGTCACTGCTGAGGTCAGTCCACTTAGGTCTGTGACTCCAGAGATGTCTCCACTAAAATATGGAACACTTGATGGCTCCCCACTGATGTCTACTGTCCCTGAGGGTAAGCCACTAATATCCACCATTCCAGACACTTCTCCAGATGTTTCTCTTTCCCCTGAAGGAAGTCCACTAATTTCTAACACCCCAGATGGCCCTTCCCCTGCCTCCTGTGCGACAGATGTCTGTGTTACAACTTCTACCAAGGTTGTATCCACAAGAGAGATAGTGGGAAGGCCAGACTGGAGCCCACTATAATCATAAACACCAGAGGGCTGGCCACTACTGACCTCAACACCAGAGATTTCTCCACTGATGTCGGGTATTCCACTTGGAAGTCCACTTATTTCAGGCATTCCCGAAACATCCCCACTGAAGTCTACTAGCCCTGAAGGCAACCCACTAACATCTAAAATTCCAGATACCGCGCCTGATATATCTTCCTCTCCCGAAGGCAATCCACTGATTTCCAAAATCTCTTTTGCTTCTGCTTCTGTAATGGAAGGGGTTGTTACTTCAACCACACTGGCATTTATAAAGGTAATGCCTGAGGGCTCACCACTTTCATCACCACCAGAAACCAGGCCACTGAGGTCAACAAAACCACTTATGTCAGGTATCCCAGATGGTGCTCCACTGATATCAATTCCTGAAGGTAATCCACTGATATCAGGTATCCCAGAGGGCATTCCGCTGATGTCCACTCCTGAGGGCAACCCACTGATATCAGGTATTCCCGATGGTGCTCCGCTGATATCAGGTATGCCAGAGGGTTCTCCGCTGATATCAGCTCCTGAGGGGAACCCACTGATTTTTCCACTGATGTCCCATTCAGCAGAGGGTAAACCTGACAGGTCTCCTTCACCACTGACCCCAATTACTCCTTTCCCTTCCTGTTCCCTTTCTGCTGCAGTTGTTACAACTTCCACCAAAGTGGTATGGTCAATGTAGACAGTAGGAATACCAGATGGCAGTCCACTTTCCTCTCCAGATGGAAGGCCACTGGTTAGTTCAACACCAGAGACTTCTCCACTAAATCCAGAAGGCAGTCCACTGATTTCTGGAAGCTCGCTGATTTCCTCTCCAGATGGCATCCCACTGATGTCTGGGATTCCAGAAGCAGACACTGCTAGGTCTTCCTCTCCAGAAGGCAAACCACTGACATCAATAATTACTGGGGGCATTCCACTTACGTCCCCCGAGGGGAGACCACTCTCTCCAGAAAGAAGGCCACTGATATCCAGATCTGCAGATGGCATTCCACTTTCTCCAATCCCTGAGGGTTCTCCGCTAGGTTCAAAAATTCCAGATGCTGGTTCCCCGCTTACATCTGGGGCTCCAGATACCCAGCCTGAAATTGTTGGTTCACCGCTGATTTGAGGCTCTCCAGATGCAGAGATGTCCCCTGACACGCCACTGACAGAAGCCTCTGCACTTGTTTCTTCTGGTATTGCACTAACAGGAGGGAAAACAGATGGACTCACTGGAAAAGAAGGGAGAGAGAGAGAGCGAGCAGAAAAAAAAAAGATTTAACAAACTGGTCTCAAAGAGCTATTAATAATATCCCGTTTGATTTTGCTCCCAAACTGACATCTAATAAAATGAAATGATGGACCATGAGGATAAGGGCAGAAAGTTCTGCACACCTCCCAGATCTCCCTTCTTACCAGAACATTTGTTAATGCAGATTATCTTTTAAATAACTGGAAAAACACTGGAATTTAAAACCTCCTATGACAGCAGAAATCCCTAAAGGATGGCCTTTAGGACAAAGCTCCTAGTCCAAGAGTCATAGGTGGAAACCACTGCTGTTTCTGCAGATAGGGCATGGCACCCTGTTTGGAGGAAGCTTTGGTCTCTGGCTTCAAGTTATGTCCTTCTTGGAAGTCAGAATCTGAAATTAGTTTCTTGATTGATTTCTCTCTCTAATACATACATCCATGTGTTACTGAAAGGTAGATCACAACTGCTACCTGCACTGATTTTTTATTGTAGGGTTGACTTGAGTTTCTGTTATGAGAGCGTGGCTTGTTTGGTTTTAAGATGTTCACTGAATCACCTTCAGAAAAAAAAATTGCATGTGTAGGCTAAGTTTTCCAGAAATGTGTGTGTTTAAATCTCAGTGTATTAAATTTACAGTCACACTAGTGGTAACTGTGTGCACACAGGTTACAGCAGAAAGTCTAAGTAAATCAAAGTGGTTTTATTTGCTCTAAGTAAATTAAAGTGACCAGAGCCCACACTTCCATCTACTTTTCAAAATACCCTTTCCCTTTACCAGAAGTCCAGTTTGTCATGGGTTGCCTGTGAATAATGAAGTATCCATGAAAAATACTAGGTTTCACTCAGTGTGTTTCAGAAGAGTGAACTTCTTTTGAGCTTCGGGGCTCAGAGAGTAGCTCAGCTAAAAGGTGCATGTGAGATGAATGTAGATTCTTGGGTCAGAAATTAACTTCTTATAAAGAGAGCAGCACAGAACTTTCTCCTTCATCGCTCTGTTTCTCAGCTGGATTCAGACAGTGATTCTACTTAACAAGCCTTAACGAGGACAAGTTATGGTATTTCTCGATTGCCACCGTCCCACATTTTCTCACTCTGATGTGACCCACCACCCAAGGAGAAATGTAACCCACCTGATAGCAATGATATGTCAGTTGGAAAGACTTCTGCTCCCCATTCTGTCTGATTTTCAGGTCCAGTGGCAAGCTCTGTTTCCACAGTTGTCTCTTCCCCAGAAGGCACTTCCTCCACTCCAGGGATCACTTGGGTTGCAATCAGATCTTCTTCAAAGAATGGGGTAGCTCCTTCAACTTCCTGCAGAGATGGCAGGGCTGGAACAGAAAGATATTGAAAGGAATTTCTATGAATATCCTCTCTCTCTCTCAGGTGCCTGAGGCTGCTCCTCAAATAGCCTCAAGCAGAAGAACAATGTAAAGATAGCTATAATTAAGTATTTAACATTTCTCATTACTGACGGCAAGGAGGTTAAGCTACACTAAAAAAAGTATAAACTGTATGAGACTTAATGGGTCTTGTCTGTCCTGAGTTTTCCATTTCCACGACAATAAAATGAATATAAAAGAACAATCTATTGTCCCTGTGTGTCTTGGCAAGAAACAGCTACTTGTGGTAAACACCATTTAGTATAAAGTAGAACCACAGCGTAACCATTGCCCTCATGAAGTCCTCTTCCCAGAGAAGACATCGTTTTCCTTGTGACCTGGGCATTGTACTCTAGGAAGAGTAGATGGTACCTCTGAAACAGTATGCGTGGTGCCTTGACAGTGGGTCAGGAAATCCTGTTTGGTTAGGGTTCAGGTAGATGGTCCTCACTCCAGGTTTGTCTCCACCACATGCAGCACGTGGGGTAACAATAGGATATCGGAGGCTGCCATCGGCAAGCCAGCCGGCATGGCATCTATCTAGGCCCAGCTTCCAGGCAGCCTGGAGTTGTCCAGTCGAGGCCAAGGTGAAATTTTGGCTTTCACAGTATTCCCGGGCTTCTTGGAAGGTGAACTGGCCTGGCTGGGTTGCAAAGAACACCTCACCTAGGGGAAAAAAACAAGAGTTCTTAACATCTAGGAGTCTCATTTCCTATGGATAGATCAGACCGTCCTGCACAAACTGCATACTAGGGGTGCGCAACATTTTGCCGGCAGTTTCATTTTGATGCCGTTTTGACTTGTTTTGAGCTCGAAACAGCAAAATTGAAACAAAACAGAAAGCTTCAAAACAGCCTTGAAGTGAAATGAGGCAAGTTGAAACGTTTCAAAGTTTTTGAAAAGTTTCGGACCTCAAGCTGGGTTTGCCTGCAGGGAAACAGAAACTAAAGTAAGGAGAGGGAAGGGGAAGAGGGGGAAGGAGTGCTCTCATTATTGACTATGTAGCTGGTCAGTGACTGTCTTCCTTCCCTGAGGTCCCTTCCAATCCCAGTGCTCTGGGGGAGGGATGGAAAAACTGCATAAAAGGCAGCATTGTTTGAACTGCCCTGCTTTCTGCCTTAGTGTCAGTTGAGTGAGGGCGCACCTGAACACACACACAGTGTCACCCACCCATGTCACAAGTTTTGCTTGTTAGCAGCTAGAGGTGCAGGGCCCCAGAACCCAGAAGCCCTGCACCTAAATCCTTGATAGCTGCCAGGCTTCATGGCCCCAGCAGGGGCTACCATCCCTGCAGCTTTCACCCTGCTGTGCCTTAACACACATAGTGTCACCCATGTCATGAGTTTTGCCTGTCAGCAGCCAGAGGTGCAGGGCCCCAGAACCCAGACTCCCCCTGCACCTAAATCCTTGACAGCTGGCAGACTTCATGGCCACAGCAGGGGCTACCATCCCTGCAGCTGTCACCCTGCTGCGCCTTAACACACACAGTGTCACCCATGTTACGTGATATGAGTTTTACTTTTAAGATTTGAGGTGCAGTTTCCCCCAAACCCCTGTACCTATCTCCCTAAAACTTGGTAGGCTTCATGCCCTCATAAGGGGCTACCATTCCTGCAAGCTTCATCCAAATAAGGCCAGAAATGACATAGTTATAGGCTGTTTCAAGCTTCCCCATTATAGCCTATGGGCAAAATGTTGAAACAGCTAAACTGTTTTGACAAAACAAAACAGAACAGCGGTTTTGAATCGAAACAAAATTCGAAACGAAATGCTGTTCTGTTGAAACATCGAAATGCAAGTCAAAATGGAACGGTGCCATTTCGCACAGCCCTACTGCATATCCCCTCTCTGCCTTCTCCAGCATAAATATTCAGAGGAACATGCAGAACATACCCTTCAGTCGGTCAATGTAACAGTACACGTCATACATCTCTGATGCTGGGCGCATGCCATATGTCCGAACGCCTGGGGAGCTGTCCTTGTCTCCTACACATCTGCTCCGTGGAGTCACAATGGGATATCTTTCAAAGGGAAAAGAAAGCGAGCTCCTCAGTGAGGATCCTGAATGTCTCAGGATTCAAGGAGCATGCTCAAGGGAAAGGGAAGTAAATTCCCCACTGATTAATAACAGCAGCAGCAGGGACCGTTAGCATTTGGAGGTGCCAAAAGTCTTGAGTATGGTTTGGAAACTTGCGGTGAACACTCCACAAAAGAGGGAAATGCAACACATATGCCTGATGAAGGGTATTTGTGTCCGAAAACTTGCAATTAAAGAATTTTTTTTGCAAAAATCTTGTTGGTCTAATAAAAGATATCGTGTCTACTACGAGTCCTGACACATATGGGGATGCATTCACAGTTCAAGAGCACATTATGCTGCAGACTGAATTGTATTTTCCTCTGTTTCAGGTAGCTGGATCCTGTTGTAAATGGAGCTAAAGGGCTCGTTTGAGAGAACCCCTTCCCAAACCCAGAAGGCTCAGTCTAGTTGCTGAATATTTCTTTCAAGGGTGTCTTCACTTGACCTGACCTGATCTTACCTGACTGTCTGGTCCCGCAGCCAGCCAGCATCACATTGATCAAAGCCAGCCTCATAGGCCGCCTGCAGCTGTTCGGGAGTAGCAATGACAGCATTGTTATCCAGGCAGGCCTGTTGGGCTTGGACGAAATTGAGGGAATATCTGTTGGTGGCCGGTCGGTAATGAAATACAACACCTGGTGGGAAAAGCAAGACAGCAGTGAGACACAGACTCAGAGACCCTCTCCCACCCCAGATGCACATGCTGGAAGAACCTTCAAAACCAGCCTGGTAGGAGCAATGTCTGCTGAAACTATTCAATTGAAACACTATTTACTGGAATCTGCTTTTAGTAAAGATGGGGATATCCCAGGGCTCTCCTATTCTTCCTACAAAGCAGATGATTCAGTGGCTGAGGAGGGCTGCACACAGGATTTTGGAGTGTGACAATGTAGTCTGAGCACCAAATGACTGGGGCTGTTCTGTGATAACATGAGGTGCCCTTCAGTCTCCTCCTCACTACTCCTGTTTCATGCACAGAGGGGAGGACAGGGACACATCTTGCTACCTGGTGTTTGAGGCAAAGGAAAGGCTGGGCTGGGTAGGGTATGCCCAGATCTGATCTCCTCCTTTCTAGGTGGGCAGTACTTAGGTTTTGTCAGCTGAAGCAGCTGTGTGGCCAGCCCACCAGGAAATGGATCTTGAGGTTTCTTGTTATCCCTGTGACTTACCGGTGGGAGAAATGGGCTGCTCAGGAATGAGTGCGATGTCAGGAGCGGCTGTCACCTGCACAATCTGTTCTTCCACTGTAAATGCTGAGGCAGACTCTAGTTCTGGGGTGGCAGTCACCCCCAAGGCCTCCTCCACCGAGCTCACCTCTGGTGCCTCGCTGGTGTAGAAAGTCTCCAGTGCCCAGGTGGTGACCTCTTCAGGAATGGCCCACACTGGTGTGGCTTCCTCTTCAGTCACGTTCTCTGCCTCCGTGAAAGCTGTTTCAGCAGTGATGCCGGTGGCAAAAAGACCAGGTGTCACCGTGAAGCCTTCATACAGCTCTGAGGCAGTGGGTGTAATGTCAATTGGCCCCAGGGTTGCAATGCTGCCACGAGCCTCCTCCTCCGTGACATTGTGTGGGAGAGGTAGCTCTACTTCAGTTCGAGTGACAGTTTGGATGGTGAAGGCACTGCCCAATTCACCTGCTGTTTCGTCGGTGAAATTCTCCGGGACCAAACCTTCAAAGTCCTCACCTATATCAAGAGACAATGTGTTCTTTACTGACCACTGCAAGGGACAGTCTACTAGAGTCAGGCTTAATGGAATATATTTGTTTCTGGATGCTCTCAAGAGAGGGGTTGGGAGTGCAGATGCTTTGACAGGAGATGGCTGATTGGATGGGTGTGGGGCTGTGGATCAAGGGGTGGGTGTAAGGGGAGAAGGAGAAGATGATGTGATAGCAGCAAGGGTACATGATGGAGTGGGTGTACAGATGTTATAAGGGGAGATGCTACTGTGATGAGAGAGAGGTCATGTGAGCAGATGGCCTGTGGACCATCCGGCAGCTCTTCCATCTTGAAAACTGACTTGTCACACCTGGCACTGGCCTACCTCGCATTGGTTGGAATATACCTAGCAGCTGCACTTGTCTGGAGGGATAATCTTTGTATTTTCAAAAGTAAAATACCAACCATTTCCCCACTGGGGCCCTACAATCTCCCACAACCCAGAGTATTTTCACTGACTTAAAGGGTAAATCCCTGTTTCAGTTCCTGTATGCTCTATAGCTCTCACATGGGTTAGGCTGGGGTAGACAACCCCCTGCATGCATGCTGGAGCGTGGCACATGGAGGCATTTTGCTTGATATGCATGCCTCGGGCTGATGGCAGGGAGGGGGCCAGGGCTGTGATGCCGCAACAAGGATCAGGCCTCTTGTGGCTCCCCCAGCATCTGCCCCAGGCATAGCAACATCTTACAACTTGAGATTGCTGGTGTTTTTGGCACTCTCCCCCAAAACATTGCTGACCCTGCGATAGGCAGTCAGCCCTCCCTTTCCACCTCCTTTGTGTACTCCTCCTAACCCTGAAACTCTGGGGTAGCCTGCGATTATTGTAGTCTTTAGTGACCTCTAGTGCCTGCAGCCAGGAATTTAAAATATAAAGCCCCAAACAGGAGGAAGAAAGCACGGACACTTTGGTAATGATGCACAGAAAATTTGAGCCAGGGAGTGAAGACAGAAAAAGACAATTAATACTACCATGAAACCTCTCACTCCCGGAGTCCCACTCAGGTCACTTCTCTCCTTGGTCCTTTCCTACATCTACATGCAGCCACTAGGTGAACAGGTCAAATGAGAGGACTCAAGTGTTTGCAGTATGACATGATGATGATGATGATGATGATGATGAGAATGGGGATGTGCTTGAGTCATGTTCCCCTCATTCCCTGCTTACACCCTAGAGCTAAAACTCCTGTTACTGGAGAGGGAAGGCCACATATCCAGGTCTACACTGAATGCCTGGAATAACTCATGGGAAAAACAGGGAAGGAAATGTCAAGTGTTCAAAATGAGGGATCCAGACACCAAACAGAGAACCCCCAGCAGTGCCCACTGCTCTTTGAAGACATTTAGAGCGCCAGTGGACGCCCCACAGAAGGACTCTGTCCAGAGACGTGAGATAACTAAGGATAGGATATAGATCCCCCAATCGCAGAGTACCCCCTGTAGAGCTTCCTTTTCCTGGTTACATAAATGGTTTCTTTGGCCAAGACCAGGGGGCAGTTGATGAGGAGGTCCTGAGACTTCATGATGAAGATGCATACCCACAATTCAGCTTGCAGTTTAGGAGCACTTTTCATCCCTCACTTAGGCAAAGCTCTCACATATCAACACCTATGAGTAAGGATTTCAACCATCTTATTTCTATCCCATCCTGGCAGATGGTGACTGGGCCTCTCTTATTCACACCTTTGTCACCTCTTATCTTCTCTACACATAGCCAGGAAGCCTTCAGCACTTAGAGGATGCCAGAAAATACAGAACAAGGCTCCTCTGCAGCACTGGCCATTTTAATCACCTTAGATCTGTACTCTTCTTCCTACACTGGCTTTCCATAGAAATTTAAATGATCTTAAACTCTTGGTCCTTATCTTTAAGGTTCTTCATGTCCTGGTCCTAAGATGTATAAAAGATATATGTCTCTGGTGCCGGGGAATTATTGTATGCTTCTCTGGCACAATGGAGCTCTCTATGCAGAACTAAAGCTTTTCTGGGGGATTGATCTAAGTCTCTGAAGTAAATATCCCTTGGAAATAAGATCACCATAAACCACACAACTTTCTGCTTCATTTGTAAGGCCTTGATCTTGCCTTTTCCAAAATAAATAGCAGCCTGTATTAAAAAAAATCCATATGAAACAACACCCCTCTGCACATGCTTCTCTCTGCGGGAGAATATTAGTTACCTTGCTTAAAGCACAAGAAGATGTTCAGATATTTATTTAATTAATTGTTTTTCATAGATGAGACTATGGAATAGTCTTCCAAGGGAAACTAGAGAAGTCTCATCACTTAAAATTGGGATAGACAAAACACCGGAGAACAGACTGTGCCAAGCAGTCACATACTAGATGCATGGGGCAGAACAAGGGGCAGGGGGTTGTATTTCTAATTCACAGGTCTGTGATAATTCAGCTCTGGCTGGGAAGCACTGCCTCTGGCTCTTGGCATTTGCTGCTTACTAACACCAATGGATGCACTGTACTCAAGTCAGCGCACTCAGGGCACTCACCTGTGTAGCAGATGGCATCATAGCGAGTATGGGGGTGAGGGTACCCAGTCTGATTGACATACAGGTATACTGTCCGCACCCCCACCAGGTTCCCACCGCAGTTTGGACGTGCCTTGGAGATGGGGTACCTAACGCTTTGGTCTGCCAGCCAGCCTGCACTGCACACATCCATGCCACCCTTCCAGGCAAGGTACAGCTCTCCTGTGGTGGCCAAACGGGCTCCAAGACTGTGGCATTTCTCTGCAGCTTCCTGGAAAGTAAACTTCGCTGGGGAAGTGGCATAGAAGACTTGACCTGCATTAATCACAATTCATAAAGTCAATGATTTGCCTTGAGGCTTAATTCTAACATCACCCAATTCTCCCAACCCTTGTCCTTTTGTTCTTGGAAGCTGGTCATTGGGAGGAAAGATAAAAAGAGCTGCCTATGTATGACTTGCATAAGTGACAACTCTGGGGGTGACATACCTATCTACAAGTGGCAAAAAGGTGGGATGAATATTCAAAGGTGAAACAAGGGGACATACGTTATAGGAGGACAGTATGACATGGATCCTTTTAGGTTTGATAATTAAGTCTGAGCAGTAAGACAGTGGAATAGCCTCCTAAAGTAGTCATGGGAGCCCCATTAACTTAGTTATTTAAAACCAGAGAGGATAGTGGGGATAATCCAGTGTCAACAAGGGCTCTTCCACCCCCAATTTATCTCATCTCCGGCCCTTTTGGCTCTATTATTATCTGTCATAAGGATATGCAAGGTCTAGCCATCCTGTCCCTTTGTGGAATTATTGAGAAACCAAAGACCACCTTTTATTTCTTCTGCATAACAATAGACGTCATATGTTTCGTCAGTCTCTCGAACGCCGTAAGTTCTCACGCCAGGAAACTCATCTTTGTCACCATAGCAACGCTCCCGAGGGAAATGGATAGGGTACCTGAGAGAGAGAGTGCACGGGAAATGCCCAGTGAGTAAACAGACATCACTGGGGGGGGGGTTCTGTTGCAATGTTGGGCGGTGGAAGGCCATTGGGATGAGCTGAAACAGGTGGTAGAGAATCAGAACTAGAATCTAAAGATCTCTTTATATGGGGTGTTTAGCAAAGGCAGACCAAAACCTTTCAGTTTTTCCTGGACAAGGAAAGAGGAAGAAGGAGGCCTAGTCTTTCTCATACCTGAGCATGATAAGGTGAAAGGGGAGGATCATCCAGCCATTCACCAAAGACACTAGTGCAGAGAGAGGAGCTAGTTTTCAGGCTTCCCTGATGCCCTAATTGATGTGTTCAAGATGTAGCCATATCTGCTGAGCTTGGCACAGGAAGCAGTTTGCATGGACTGTAACTAAACCACCGTTCTCAGCTGTGAGACATTCAGTCCTTAGGTCTTAAGCAACGATTGCCAAGCAAACCAGCAATGGAAGTAGTTTCCTCTTGGGGATACTTAACCGCTGGGAAATGGATTGAGATCCACCAGCTCATGTCACACCAGGTGAATAAAGGAGTGTAACCTTTGCTGGTTACAATTAAACAGAGACTGGGTTTGAACCAGTGACCTAGCTGTGGCAGTCCTTCTGGCTGTATACCCCTTTCCTTCCCCTTTCAGTGCCCTCCTTTGCCATCTTCAGCTAATTACCTGACAGTCTGATCAGCCAGCCAGCCGGCATCACACTGTTCAAACCCATCTTCATAGGCAGCCTGCAGCTGTTCGGGGGTTGCGATGACAGCACTGTTCTGAATACAGGCCTGCTTTGCCTTCTCAAAGTTCAAGGTGTACCTGGTGGAGATGGCTCTGTAATGGAACACGACTCCTGGAAAACACATTGGCCAGCACACACACACATGTGCACAGATCAGTCACTGAATGATCCGCCCTTCACCATCTTCCCTTTCAAAGGATTTAGCAAGCCAGTAAAGAGGCATTACATTGCATGTGGAAAATAATGCATCAGCCATGCATCATTTTATTGCACAGGTGGCCCAGTATTCCCTAAACATATTCCATTTTTCCTCACTTAGCATACCAGCACCCATTACCCACTAGATATCTGGTGTGCTGGACATTGCACAAATATACAGGAAGGCCTGGAGCCTTCATATGTACTGCTATCATATTTAAGCTCTATTTTTCCATAGATGGTGACCATTAAAAAAAAAATGGCTGTATGCATACTCATCCTGGCATAGGAAGGATTAGAATCAGAAAGAACAGGTCTGGAAGGGACTTCAGGATGTCAGTGACTCAAACCCCCTGATCAAATCAGGGTCATCCCTGTCTAAACCATTCCAGGAAAAGTGTTTATCTAACCTGCAGAAAAGGATATAAGGGTTATCGTGGACTACTACCTGAGTATGAGGCAACATACAGCTACTTGTATGTTTCTGGAAAAGAATTTATATGTTCTTTCAGAAAAGACCAGTTGTCTCTACTTAGTACCATATCTCCTAGCAAGGCAGGTGAGACTAATAGTCCTTACACTCTGGTTTCTTGCTGTACCTCTTCAGACCAGTAGCCCATTTTGTCCAGCATTGATCCTGTCAGCTGCCCAGAGTAGTGGTCCAGCTAGTTCTGCCACACAGAATTACTTCGTTCATCTATTTAGCCTGGTATTCCAGTCCCTGTCCACTTTAGGATAAACCACTAGTCCAGCCTGTTTCACTCCTGCTTAGCTGCTTGATGATGACTCACTCTGATCCTGATATAATCAAGACATAAGGGCTTCCCAAAAGAGTCACACCCTTTGCAAACATATTGCGCCCTTCTCCTTTCTGCCTAACCAAATCAGCCTATCAGCTCTATTTCCCAAACGCAGTACTGGAGCAGGATCTCACCTTTCACTATGACCTCAATTGTGTCCTGTCTGTCCTCGATACCATGCATCACTCCACAGCGATAAATCCCACTGTCATTGGACCTTAATGCCTTGATTTCCAAGCTGGCATCAGTGGGGATGGCAGGATAATTGGGCATAGATATCACCTCCTTGTACTCAGTGTTGATTCGAACTTTCCCATCTGTGGCCACTAGCAAGACTACTTCCTTCCCATCAGAGAGTCTGCTCCATTTGATTCTTGGGGTCAGAGGAGAGATGGTATCATAATCTATTGGGTCACTGAAGTAGCAGGGGATAATCAGAGAGTTTCCCAGCACAACTTTCAGAGGAGACTGTTCAGGTATCCTCACTTCCAGTCCATCACCATTGTCTGCCAGCCCAAAGATTGTGAGAAGAAAATGGAAGATGAATTAATCACACCCACCTGCCATAACCACCAACATTTACAAAGTAGCCTCTATTTTATAAACTGCTCCCACAAGTTTCCAGTATATGACTGTACAATCTAAGGCAGAGGTTAGTCACTGTTTTGGAGTGACAGGCTGAAATAAGGTCATGTGAGCTAGCACTTCTGACGCAGCCCCCTTGTTACCACTTTACCCTTCCCACGCAGCCCAACCCCCGAAGCCCCCTGCTACTGAAATGCCACTGAATTGCCCTTCCACCAAAACACCACCGATATCTGGGTTCATGGACTGGATGAAATCGCTTGGAAGACTGGATCCAGTCCTTAGGCTGTGGGTTGTCAACTCTTAGTCTGTAAAATAAAGTTTGAAGACTACAGTGGCCCTCAAGTCTTGGTAGCTCTCAAAGAATTTTAGTTAGGGGTATGCAAAACTTCGGCCTGTGATTTGATTCGGAGAAGATTCGTCCCAATTCGGAGGCTGAATCATCAAATCCGAATTGAATCAGAAGAAGGAAAAAAGACCTCCGAATTGATTCGAAGCCTCTAAATCGATTTGGAAGAGATTCAGAAAAGATTTGGAGATTCGGAAGGCAGCCTTTCAGGGGAACAGAAACTGAGAAGAGGGAGGGGGAGCAGGGGGGGAATGACTGACATCTGTAGCTGGCCAGTGACTGTGATCTTTCCCTGAGTCCCCTTCCAATCACAGTGCTCTGGGGGAGGGACATAGAAACAGCACATAAGCCTTTGTCTGCAGGCTTTCTGTGCCTTGTGTGAGCTGTTTCTGCCTGAGCAACAGCATCTGAAAGGTACTGGATTAGCTTTGCTTCCTATCTAGTCAGTCTCCTGCTACTTTCTGTTCTTGGAAAGGATTGGATATAGCTTACTAACTAGAATTCCTCTATTTATCCCTACCCAATCCATTTCTTTCAATTTATATTTGTTCTTGTTTCCCCTCCACACTTCTTAAAAAGAAAGCTGTGTTTTCCCTGGCAGTGAAACCCCTGCACTATCTCCTTGAAACTTGGTAGGCCTCACGCCCTCAGAAGGGGCTACCATCCCTGCTGTTTTCATCCAAATCTACCTTAACACACACACAACATGAGTTTAGCTTTCAGCCCTTTGAGGTACAGTTTCCTTATCTCCTTGAAACTTGGCACACATCATGCCCTCAGAAGGGGTTACCATCCCTGCAATTTTTATCCAAATCAGCCAAAGAATGACACAGGCATAGGTATTTCAGTGATTCCCCATTATAGTCTATGGCTGAATCTCCAAATCTCTTTGAATCAGCACCAAATCTTCTGGAGATGAATTGATTTGGGACAGTGATTTGAATCTCCAAATCGAATCACTATCCTATGAATTGGCTGAAACTGAATCCAAGTCAAATATTCCTTATTTGCACAGGCCTAATTTTAGTACACTATTCAACTGATGTAGTATTGAAAATTTAGGCACTTGAGCTGTAACTATCTTTTCCTCTCCTGAGCACAGCAGCAGCAACATGGTGAGGCAGTGCAGTGGCCAAAAAGAAGGCCCCTGTTACTTATGGGGGAAATGAATAAACTCAGAGGTAAGCTTGTTACAAAAGGTGTTGCTTTTTGTGAGGGACACAATCTGCAACACGCTGGCTTGCTAGATACTGTGTGCAGCACCGAGCAGTGGTCTCACCCCCTGTACGTACCTGAAAGCTCCACAGAGAAGGCTGCAGTGATGACTCGCAAATACACAATCACTAATAGCAAAGTGGTCATAGTTTACCTGCAAGAAACAACACATAGAGACAGGATTTATTATTGTGAGGTGATCATAACAGAATGGGACCCTTCAGAAGGAGCAAATGTCATAGCTTAGGGCAGCTAGGAACATCCAGAATACTTTTTGTACACTTTTACCCTGAAACTAGTGTGAGAGTATTTATTGGACAAGATGTTGCCCTGAAAAGAGCTGGAGATGCCCATCTTATTCCAATAACTCAGCCACTCAAAATAGGAACCTTGGTTATATACAATGCTCTTACTATAGTGGCTTCATATGCTCTCTCTCTTTTGTGATCTGATTATTGCTGCTGGGTTGAAAAACAATTTGATCATTGAGCTTTATATGTGTTGTATTTCTACCCCAGAAATGCACATTGTATCCACCAAACCCTACATTTCAGCCCAGAAAACCAAGAATGAAGGCACCACACCACCAGTATTTTCCATCTAACAAGCCAGCTTGGAAACTTTGGCCGGTGCCTTGGATGGACTTGGTACAACTTAGGTTATTCTGGAGGACGTCTGGCCCTTTTTAAAGGTTGTAGCTTAACTGCTTATATCACATTTACATGTTTACTAGGCCTGTGCGAGTAGGCAGCTATTCAATTCAGCTTTGGATCCGGCTGCTTCAGATGCCAGTGATCCAATCCAGAGCTCTGGACCAGGTTCCGGCTTCGATCCGGAATGAGTTAATGAGTTAACAAGCAATGATTAACACCTAAAAAACCACAGACTAAGGAGAGGAAATAATCAATACAGACAATCAACTGCCCCAAGACAGAGACAGTCAGTTGCACAAGCACCCATGTCACGAGTTTTGCCCGTCAGCAGCTATGGGGTACAGAACCCCAGAACCCCCCTGCACCGATCTCCTTGACAGCTGGCAAGATTCATGGCCACAGCAGGGGCTACCATCCCTGCAGCTTTCACCCTGCTGCAGCTTAACACACACAGTGTCACCCACGTCATGAGTTTTGCTTGTCTGCAGCTTGAGGTGCAGTTCCCCCCCAATCCCCTACAGCGATCTTCTTGAAACTTGTCAGGCTTTGTGGCCTGATCAGGGGCCACCACCCCTGCAGTTTTCACCCCCACCTCCCACCCCGTGGTGTAACACATACACGTGACATGAGTTTTGCTTTCAAGAATTTGGGGTGCAATTCCTCCAAAACTCCTGCACCAATCTTTTTCAACCTTGGCAGCTTTCATGCTCTCAGCAGAAGCTACTACTTTTGCAAGTTTCATCCACATCAGATAAAAAACAACAAAGTTATAGATATTTCATTGCTTCCCCATTATACCCTACGGTCGGATCTCTGAGGCGGCTCTGAAGCTTTTCCGAAGTGGTTGGGAAGCTCTGAACCACTTCAGAAAGCCTAAAGAAGCCAGCGCTTCAATCCAGACATGCTGTTTCAGATGCCGAAGCATCCGAAGCTTCTCTGGATCCAAAGCACGGTCCGAAGCCTCGCACAGCCCTAATATTTACCACTGTAAGTGGAAGCTCTACTGTAAAAACTGCATTCTCTATATATATCCCAGAGGAATCCAACACATCAGACTAGTTCAAGGAAATGAAGCGAAGTCCTTTATCCAGGTTAAATAGAAGGAACAAATTATGGAAAGAGAATGGAACAGCTCAGAAATGAATGTGAGCAAGGCAACCAAGGTGGTCTTGTGAATAATGCCATTACGTTTTAAATAACCACAAGTGGTCAGGACAATTTAAGATTCATTCAAAAGACAGATCCTCTATCAACACAGCATTCATCAACACCAGAGACTGCAGCATTGATTCAGTACTGACTCATAAGGAAGAACCCCACCTACTGAATCACTTACATTTTCCTTGAAGGTCCCTTATCCAAATAACAGCTGTTTGTCTCCCCAGCTCTAGAGAGATCTCAGCTGGTCTTGGTATGGCTGAAATCAACAGAGAGTATTATGAAGGCCAGAGTACACAGCTATTGGCTCGGTAGTGAAGTCCATTAAATATCCTACTTGAAAGCATAGTAGAGAAGACCATATATAAGAAAGCTCTTCCAAAGTCAGGACATTAGCTTTTCACTTTGGCAGAACTGAGTTTAAATCCTACTTGATCCATATTAGAAACTGTGTTTATAAGCCTTAAACTGGTTGCTAGTGAACTGTTATCTATAGGAACTGAATATTAAACAAATTGGAATTCTCTAGACTGAGGCTCAGAACTGCATTAGGAATGGATACTGCAGGTCAGGACTGGGATGCATTGGCAGAGAAATCTGTGTATTCAAGTTTGCAATCATAAGGTTGCTATGGGGAAGCTATGTGTGTTTTGGCCAGGTTTAAAACAGTAGGGAGCCTTGAGAACAGTCAGCAGAAGTGTGTATGTGGCTGGGACTGGATCAACAGTGGGTGCTGCAGGGGAGGAGGGAAATATAAGCAAGTCATATATTAGGAACAAAAGAAATCCTAGAAAATATGTAGGCCATACCTAGCTAAGTATGTTAATAATGGTGCAGAAAAGGCAGAAGAGTTCAATATTCCATATGGATCTATTACATATGGAGGAGGAAGTCATTTCCAATTCATTAGAAAGCAAGGAGAATATTAAAATCTGTGGGCTAGTGATACACATTTTTTAAATAGCAAGGCTAGATAATTTGCTTCAGGAGTCCTTAGAGAGCTGGCAAAGTAGACCTCTGGCCTGCTGATACTCATTTAAAATAAAATCTTGGAAAACTGCAGAAATTTCAGAATACTGGTAGAGTGCTAATGTACCAATATTCAGAAAGAACAAGCAGGATGATATGAGTAAATTCAGACTGATGTCTTAACCTGACATCATCCCGAGTGAAAAAGTAAGACCTGATGCAGACTTTAAGCAATACAGAATGAATGGTAGCAACAATCAATGTCAGTCGACATAGGTTTATAAATATAGTGCAGCCAGACAAACCTGATTGCATTCTTTGAGATCAGGAGTTTGCTTGCTGAAGGTAAGTGCGTAGCTGTAACAGACTCTCATATACTGTTTGACTTAGAGCCACACAACATTGTGATTTCAAAATGAGTACTACACAATCTCCAAAAAGCACAACACAGTGTGTTTAAATACAGCCACACACAGAGTTTTTATGTCTAGGGCCAGGCCACGTGATGGCAGTAGGTGTATCCTGGGAGAAGCAACTCAAAACCTATAAATAGGGGAGTAGTGAACAGGAGTAGGAGAGTGATTTTAGCTCTCCCTGTGTCATTGGTAAGACCAAAGTAGAATGATATGTTCAGTTTTGGTGTCCAGATTTTAAAACAAGGTGTTGAAAAACTGGAAAGGATGCAGAAAAGAGCCATAACGTATGATTTTGGATCTGGAGAAAATGCCTTACAGTGGGAGACTTGAAAGCTTAACCCGATTATCTCATCAAAAAGGAGGTTGGGAAGTAACTTGGTTACAATGAATAAATCCCTGCAGAGAATTTAAGTTCGCAGAGAAAGGTACAATATAAATCAATGGCTAGAGGCAGACATAGTCGAACTGGAAATAAGGCACATGTTTTAACACCATGGGTGATTAACCACTGAAACAAACTATCAGGGTGGATCTTCTGTCTCTTCATGTTTTCAAATGAATCCCAAATACTATTTTGGAAGATGCCTAAGATGAACACAAGTCACTGAGCCCATTGCAAAGTAAATTGGTGAAATTTAAGGGTCTCTGATATGCAGGAGGTCAGGCTAAATGATTAATGGTCTCTTCTGACCTTACAATCTATGAATATGAATGTATTAAAGTGTCAATCTCTCCTCTTGTATTATGCATTATGCCTAGCTGTAGGCAGTACAGAAATCATTTTTTATGAATAATTACTTCACACACATTTTTAACTGTCTTATAAAAGCCATTTTGTAGAATGAAAAAACACACCCAAAATAAGACTGTCATATCTCAATCCACAGAGAATATGTATCTCAAGGCACTTTTCATATGGTGATACAGTTGTGCAGGAGAAAGTTAACCAGCTGAAGACTAGGCTTAATATATGAATCTACATAATGGTGAAACCTCCCTTCTGGCTGTGGACAGATGTACCTTTCGGGCATTTTAAAGAGAGCTGGGCGGGTGGGGGGAATTGCCACTTGGGATTGCACATTAGCTGTTTTAACTGTTTCATCTGTCTGCTCCTTTGCCAGTACAAGTGAGCTATACTGTTCTGGCTTTATGAATGAAATGAGCCTAACATTAGAGCAGTTTAGCTCTACTTATACTAGTATAAGGGCAGACAGATATAATTGTTATATTGAACAGTTTATAACAGAACAATTTAATACTCGTATAACTGTTATGCTTGCCCAGTCTATACCCAAAGTTATAAGCCCCATCACGTCTAAGTTTTAAAACCAGTACTAACTACTCTTTATTTATTTATGCTGTTGTCTCACTGTGCTAGGCACTGCAGGGACATGAATGTATACACAGTCCCTGTGCCTACCTATGGACTTTAAAGCACTGGGTGAAAGCTCTGGCCCAATCTCTGAAATGTAATGCTAATTTGTTAGATGGAAGACATCCAAAGGGATTGCATGGCTCAGTTGATTGTTGATTTAATAGCAAGCCTGTGCCCAGCAGGTCACTGGCTTTTTATGGCCCAGATCATTAGTAATTGAATTGGTGTCACCTAATAATCTGCTGTATATGAAATGAAATATAGGGGAGGATGTGTGTTTTTCAGTTCAATATCTACTGAGAGAGGCACCCACATCATGCAAAAAATGCAAGTATAATATGTTCCCATAGATCTCTCTCTTGAAGAAATAGAGAGGCCAAGACTTGAATGAGCCATGCTGTCTGGATTCCCTTGCCTTCATTGGGCAGGTGTGAGGAGGTCCCCACAGGGCAGAAGACACACCGCTGGGATTATTTTAAGGCAAACTTGTACTGTCAGCACATCTGTTGTAGCCTGTTCTAGCTACATATAAGATGTCACTTCTCCAGGCTCATCAACACTGACACCTTTCAGTCACACCAAC